TCAGACAAGCAGACTTCCAAGGGACGTTCTAAAGACGTCATATGTCTTAAAAACATGCTGAAAAAAATTCTAAAGATGTTCCTTGCAAATTGGTGTTGTCTTGAGTATATTGTAATATTTGTCTTACTTAGGTTACTCTTGGCTCATATAGTTTACATTGACTCTAAATAGTAAAATGCTCAGACAGTACAAAATCTTCTAAAGACATCCCAGGGTCATCCTGAAGATGAAGAAACGTCCTCAGGATGTACTCTAGATGTTTCCTGGACATCTGTGCTGTTAGAGTGACGTCTTAATGATGTTAAATAATGCTTTAATAATGTTTTTAATGTCAATAAGACATCACTAAAATGTCAGTTGACATTATTTTGCTGCCATGTTGAACAAAATTTTTATGTGAAAAATTTTAATTTTCACAAATTTATGTTAAATCTTTCATTTCTCATGAGTTTAGTGAAAGTTTTCATCTTTCAAGAGTTTATTACAAAATTTTCACTTTTCACGAGTTTACACTAGGGGAAAAGATTCATGATCGCTACCCAGAACGGAATAAAAACGGAATTACTCTGATTGGCTAACTCCCACATATCTCTTTTCTGTAACGTTAAGGCCAAATCACACTAGCGATTGGCGATTGACTATTGACAATTAAAGATTAGATTTTAACGAATCAACAAGCTTCAGTCTTGGCTTGCTTTGTTCCAATTGGTCAAGTTTCAATTTTCAATCGTCTATCATCTATCGCCAATCGTTAGTGTGATTTGGCCTAAACGGAACGCGCCCTGAGTCAGGCCTGAATCAAGAGAGAGAGAGAGAGAGAGAGAGAGAGAGAGAGAGAGAGAGAGAGAGAGAGATGATGCTTCCCTGAATTTTCCTTCATGTGTGGTAAAAGAGCTTCTGAGTAAAGGAACCAGAGAGAGAGAGAGAGAGAGAGAGAGAGGGAGAGAGAGCGAGCTTCCCTGAATTGACAGTTTTATGTAACCTCAAACATTTTTGAGTGACTACGCAAAGGATTCAAGGATTCGTGAACAAAATTGTCGGAACTCGTAAGGATATCAACGGTATATTATCGAAACATTCTCTTTTACGAAGTAATAATCATAAAGTAACAATGTATAATCATTATTTTCAGTATCGTTGAATATTGACGAACAAATGTATGTCAGCTCGACAGTATTTCTCTTTTTTTTCTTTAAGAGTACGTAACATCTTTTCATGCGAATCGATATTTCATAAGCCTCAGGAACAAGCAGCATCAAACATGTTACGTAAATCATTTGTCTTTGACATCAAGTAGATGATCAAGTAGATCAATTCGTAAATTGGACCCATCTTTTACTTTAACGTACAAAACAAAGGAAGAAAATATGCATGCGACACGAACTGACACTTCCGAGAGGCGATTCGAGATACAATGTAAATTAGAGTCGGAAATCGCTGCATTGGAGGCTTTAAAGGAAGCGGAGGAACGTAGCCGGCGACTGACAAATGGTGTAGTAGGAATACTCTCTTCCCTGGAAGAACGTTTAGCCACGCTACGTCGTACCATACTTCCCGTCTATAACGAGACGGGCAATCTCCAAGCTCAACAGCACAGTATGTATCTAATTGTTTTTCAATACATTAGTACTTTAGGATTCATCATAGCTCCTTTTTACGACAAATCCCTTGGACGTGAGTAGTTGACTCTAAAGTAAAATTCTAACATCACCCTTACAGAAGAAGCATCAATAATTGCTGAGGGAAATAGTAGCGATTAATTGTTGCTTGGAAGTCCAGTGATTATTTGAGGAACCACAATGTGTGATATATATCTTTTGTAGAATTCCCACAAATGTATCTATTGTAGTGGTCTCCAGCAATCTAACTCTAGTAATCCTTTTTCTGCAAGGATACTTAATTTTTGTTGCGAATGAGCTGCTCGAGAAAACGCAAAATTGTCGCATATTATCTCGGACATAAGAGTGTTATGGATCTAATTATCAAGTCTGGAATTTCTCTTTTATTCTTCACGCAAAGAATTTTTCAGCTGTACTTGTACATTGCAGATATAGAAAAGACTTTGAGCGTACTGGATCACGCTATCGGATATTACGGTGTGTGTCAAGAAGTGGAGGATGCTGTGCGCGCCGAACCGAGTGGTCCCAGTGGTTTGGATGGCTTTCTTGAAGCTATGAATCGTTTGTACAACGCGCAACGATACTTTCAAAAGAACAATCCTAGCTCTGTCGAATTGGAAAATGTCACGAGTCTCTTCTCGATCGGTTTAGAATCGCTTTATGCTGAATTCCATGACATTCTGACTCGCCAAAGTAAGCCAATCCTACCTATCGTTCTTTTGGATCTGATCGGTTCTGACGAGGACACTAGTGGCGAGGATGCGCCGCAGTCTTTGTGTCAATTGCCGGAGAGTATCATGAGCGATTTACTCAAGATCGCTGGGTGGCTCGAGGAAAGAGGGCATCGCAAACACATCAAGATATACGCTTCTGTGCGTTCCGCCATTGTCTCAAGATCTTTGCAATTGCTCAAGGAACATCAAAGGAGCGCCAGTGGTGGTAGCACGCACGCGGGAAGTCCTATGCCGGTAAAAGAAAATATACGTTAGAAAAATGATGCGCAAAAAAGGAATCCGACACGATTAGTTCAAATCGCGCTTTAAATTAATGTCGCACGTTGATAACATATATTTTCCTTCGATATATAGATTTTACACGAAAGGATTTATGTACCTCTTTAGGATAGGAAGATTATATTTCAATAACATAAGCAATTACTTGTAGAGAGCCAAATTTGCTAATCGGCACTCGCTGGGCGGTCAAGAGAACGCGGGGCGTAGAGCGTCACGTCGGCTACAACATGCTTTGGAGAAGAAAGCAAACAGAATGTTGTTGAAAGCGTCGCAAACGACGGGTTTAAACCTGTCGTTGACGGCATCCAGGAAACCGACTCCGCAGCTCTCCGTATACTCGATCGAGGACGCGGCACCGGACGAACAGGAAATGGAGAATTACCTTCTGTTAACCGCCGGCCTCCACAAACTCATGCAGGCCGAGCGAACACTGGTCGCAAAAATCTTGCCGGCTTCGCTGCAAGCACAAGTGCTCGAGGCTACTGTTCGCGACGCGATGGATCTCGTCGCGCACGATGGGGATAGCATAGCTACGCGCGCCAAACGATGTATCTCGAGACGCGACTTCTCCGCGGTTCTCGTCGTATTCCCAATTTTGAAACATCTCGGTGAATTGAAACCTGATCTCGAGAGAACGGTCGAGGGCTGCGATTACGCACTCCGCTCAAAGTTCGCGTCAGTACTCGACACACTGAACGCAACCGTATGTTTCTCTAAATCAAATTTTCTTTTTTGAAAAATATAATTCCATTATATTAGTCTCCAACTATCGCCGACTATCTTTCCACCATCTATTCTAAAGGATCTCTTATCATTGATCGTAAGAGTTGATGTAACTTTACAATTCTGTTATTTCAATCGTTCTTGACGATTGCTGCGGTAGGCTATTGAGAGCTCGCGATCAAATCCATATAAAATACGCACCGCGAATGAAAATCAATTATCTTTTCGTTTTCGTAGGGTGCCAAAGCCTTGGAAGATTTTGCGGAGAGCGTGAGAAATGAATCCGGTGCGGCTTTGCCGAAAGACGGCACCGTAGCAGAAGGAACTAGTAATGTTTTAGTTTTTCTGGAACAATTAGCCGAATATGCTGACACGGCTGGCGCTGTTCTTCGTCGTAACACCGACATAGATCAAACCGTATCGTCCGGAAAAAATGCGGAAAACGGACACAGAATTGTTCTCGGTGTATATGTCAGTAAGTTTGTCCGCATCTCACAAGTCTTTCTTTTTTCTTTAATCACATTTTCTCTCTGTACGAATATTAATTTCGAGTTGGACCAGAATGTAGCAATGTTTGTAATAGTATTTGATAAAGATCGTTTCACTTTGTTTTTTTTCTTTTTTATCTTTATACTCCTTTTTACCTATACTCTATACTCTTTTTTACTTATATACTCATTCTCCATGTAATTTCATTTGAGGCAGCTAAAATAAAAATAGAATTATTAATCCGACGATTTTTTTTTCTTTTCACAGAAAAGGTTCTCGCTCAATTGAATTTAGCTCTAGTGAGTAAAAGTGATGCATCTTACTCTGATCTTGCTTTACGGGCTTTATTTCGGCTAAATAATCATAATTATGTGGTTAATGCTTTGCGCCGAAGTTCTCTTATGGAACTGCTGCTACTGGCTGAGCCAAGTGCAGAACAGACATATCACGATCTACTTTTCAAGGATAGAAACAATTATGTCACTACAACATTTGCAAAAGCACGATCGTATCTCGAGCAATCCGCAGATGAAACAGGTTTGTATGTGTATGCGCGTATGTGTCGTGTGTGTATGTGTGTTTACATAAATTTTAAGAATTCAAATCGACAAAGCTCATAGTAAAACAAGACTGCAAACACATTTCTCTTATAACGTCACGGAAATAAATAAGAGAAACGTGTCTATTCAGTTTGTCCATTGTGTCACGCATTATTACATTCTATTCTGCTTTCTGACTGAGATTTTTTCAATAATTGGCTGACCTAGAGTATAATCATAAATCTTGTTTAAATAATTTTCGTATGTATTTCCTCTCATAGATCTTGCCGCCAAAACATTAAAGGAAAAATTTCTGGGATTTACAAGAGAACTCGAGGAAGTGGCCAAGTGTCAACGTTCTTACTCTGTACCTGATAGACGTTTACGCGAAGAGCTGAGAAAGGAATTGCACGAAGCAATCGTTCCTTTATACACTGCGTTTCATAACAAATATCGCAGCGTGTCGTTTTCGAAGAATCCGAGTAAATATGTCAAGTATACGCCCGATCAGATTTCGGCGTTGATTAATACATTTTTCGACACCGCCGCATAATACAAGCTGTATAATCACGAGAGAGATGATTGTTCTCTCGACAAAGAATAGTTTCGAATATTTAGTAAACACCCATTTAATAAAGCATATTTAGTTACAATATTTTTATGATCTTTTCTGTGGACCGAATTTTCGTCCTCTGAAAACAGATTGCACAGGTTAATAGATTTGCGACAATTGAGTTAGGTCTTGGTCTAGCCCCGATTTATATATATTTATAATATATATAAAAAACAAGTAACGTATTCGATTTAATTGATCAGCGATATATATATATATATATATATATATATATATATATATATATATGGGTGTGTGTGTATTTATGTGTGTGTGTATGTGTGTGTATGTGTATATATATATGTAGGTGTATGCTTGTATGTAAACATCTCATATTACCACTTATAATAGATGCACATACTACATGTACTATATGTGGTAATAAGTAGAAATACATTTGAAGCAATTATGTACACATTTGTTACGTTCTATAGAATATTCTTTCTCTTTCTCTCTCATTATGTATGTACTTGTGACACTTTCTCATTTATTCTTTCTTTCACTCACTCACTCACACTCTCTCTCTCTCTCTCTCTCACTCGTTCACTCATCTTTTTTGATCTCTCACTTTCATTCACCCACACTGACTCATCGATTCTTTCATACATATAAGCATTCATGTCGTCCTCTGCTTCAGTAGCAAGTTATCCAATTTTTTTAAACATGGCAATACTTGTTGGCTTTAATCTGTGACCTGTGACACGATAATTTTAATGAGAGAACATAATGTTTAGTACATGCTAGTTACATCTCGCAAGATCTCTGCAACTTGCTGTAAACGCTATGAAGCAGAAGAATCGTTAAACTTGATTTGACATTTAAGGTGATATACATACATACGTACATATATACATACATACATACATACATACACACACACACACACATATATATATATATGTATGTATGTATGTATGAATAAATCAATCACATACATTGAAACTTGTACAGTAACTATCTTAAAATTACGGTATGTATATGATAGAACTGATAAATTTAGTGAAAGAAGGAAGCTATGTTCTGTGGCTGCTGCTGTTTCTGCTACTACTACTTACTGATCCCATTTAGAAAATATAACTGTTGATTAATCGGCATTTATATCGCTCGTTTCTTTATACTTACACGAGTTCACAATAAAATGACTATCGCTAAACAGGTATATAAACAGAATTTAAATATCGGACGTGCACATTACATGTCGAATAGCATTCGAATATTCGTCTAATGCCACTTTAAATTCACTCTTCCCTGCTTTTTTCAATAAAATTTTATATACAATTCTTTTTAGATTAGCTTAGCACGTTCATAATCAAACTCATTAAATCTATATTTTAGAATCCAACACAGATCTGATTTGTGAAAATATATAACGTGACAATTTTTAACAAATATCGAATATCCTGAATATTCTGAATCAGAAGAAAATATACAAGATTGTTCTAAGTACATAAAAAAGTGTTATGTGTGTAACATGTCTGTGTATGTATGCATATATGTGTATACGCGCGAATATAGTTAATTCACATTTAATGAACATCTAGATGAATATCGTCCAAACAGATTTGCCACGTACTATGCATATCTCTAAAAAATATTTTCTCTCTCTCTCTCTCCACACACACACACACACGCACACACACACACGTGTGTGTGTTTTGATGCATATGGAAATCTCGCAATAAGGAAAATTACAGTTTCTTTTCTTTTTTTTAATGCATTAACTATGTATGTCCTACCTAAAATGTACACAATGGCAAATAGCATAAAATGGTTTTTTCTTTGATTAAACTGATCAGTATACAATGTTTGGACGCTTATACAATTACATAGTAATATTTGTTTCTCTTTACCAATATATATATATATATATATATATATATATATATATATATATATACACACATATATATATATATACATATATATATATACACACACACACATATATATAAAATTATTAATTATAATATTAATAATGTACTCTCTTTCTTTCTCTCCCTCTCTCATATATACTGTACAGCATTAGTTCGGTTACATTTTGGCTTCTTTTACACTCCTATCGCTTAGAACATCCAGTCAGATTGCAATTTATAGCCCTATTATGTGATCCAAGTATCCATCTAGAGAGGGAGTTTTGTTTGCGTAGACAGCACGAAATCTCCTCGATTGATTCCTCTAATGTTGGAGCATAAGAGGAGAAATTTGTGTTATATGAATTAATAATTCTCAAACTTTCTCATTCTCTCTCTCTCTTTTTCTCTCTCTCTCTGTTTCTATCTTTCTCTTGTCTCGTTCGCTGAAAGATACACCAAACTGATGTTTGTGCGCTTATGCTGGCAGATGTTTGCAGCCTGTTGATACTGATGTAGGCTGTACAACTGGGGTTCCGATGTCGGTAACTCGTCCTGTATTCGATTCGGTACACTGGAGATGAGACAATGCACTTCAACACATCCCGGTACCACCGTGCATAAAGATTACATTTAATATTATAGAAGGAAACATCTGCGCTTTGGCTTCACTTGCAGAACAGGGCACAATACGGCACGTATCGCCTCATCGAATACAGTCTTCAAGCCTTTCTGTGTCAGGGCTGAGCACTCCAAATATTTGACGGCACCGATCTCCTTCGCCATCGCCAAACCCTATACAAGACACATTTTGAGATAGAAATTAAATTACAAATAAAACCCAATTTATTTTTTTATTTGGTAAGTAAAAAAATTGATAAGTAAAAAAATATAGCTTTCAACATATATAAAGAGACTCTCAATCTCATTGTTGCAATGAAAAGAAAAGAAAAGACAAACCTGTGGATAAGTAATGGGAGCGAGTTTTTTGTCTTTTAAACGTTCAATAGTTTCCTTGTCCTCGCGCAGATCTAGTTTAGTGCCGACCAAAATAATCGGAGTAGCGGGACAATGATGACGCACTTCAGGATACCATTTGGCACGTACATTTTCAAAACTCGCCGGGTTTACCAACGAGAAGCAGATCAGAAAAACGTCAGTTTGTGGATAAGACAATGGCCGTAGTCTGTCGTAATCCTCCTGTCCCGCTGTATCCCACAAGCCGAGATTAATCGGCTTACCGTCGACCATTACATTGGCGGAATAATTGTCGAACACCGTTGGAATGTACTCCCCGGGAAACGCATTGGTAGTGTAGCTTATCAGCAAACATGTTTTACCCACCGCTCTAGAGGACACAAACATCATTTATTACGTTGACCGATGTAGTAACAAGAAATTGTCAGTATAGACAACGATCATTTGATGAATCGTATGAGAGAAAACTTTTCATCCGCGCGACCAATATTTTAACGGCCGCATTCATCTCGTATCAAACAATGTTCAACTGCCGCCGGCAAATTTCAAGAATATAATGTTACAGTTTTTCACAAACTTGTATCATTACCTCGATAAATATTCCTTTATAATGCGACAGAATCGCTGATAGAATCGAGTCATGTATACGTGACAGCGGCTGTCAAATGTGTCAAGTTGGATCGTTCCAATAGCATTTTAATGCACCCTCTTAAATTTAATGTACAAATCTAATATATAAAATTTATATATCTAATATATAAATACACATTCTTAATCTTAACGAGACTCTAATCTCGCGCGTCCCGATATGTCAAATATGTGACATACATGTACATACATACATATGCACACGTCACTCGGGCAAGCATTGGCAAACGGCCGTGAAACGTGCGAAAAAACGTGACGTCCTCGTGAAAACGCGCGCGAGCGAGTACACGTCAACATCGTTTGGCGGATACACGGGCGTGGTGGGTTCGCGAGTTAAGAGGTACGCGAGCGGTAGCTTCGTAAAAAACATCGAGATAGTCGCAACGAGCTGGAGCTAGGACGACCGTAGAGAGCGTCCAAGGTAATTGCTCGTTTGTTTGTTTGTTCGTTCGTTGTGATTGATTGGTTGGTTGGTTAGTTAGTTCGTTCGTTCGTTCGTTCTTCCGCTCGCTCGCGATCGTTGTCGCAGCGGTGGATCTTTTCGATCCCTTCGTGAACGATCGTTCTCTCCTGCGCTCGAGCTCTCGAGTTGCGGAAAACGATGCTCTTTACGACCGTCCTGTGTATTACGTACCCGTCGCCAACGACCACGCACTTGATAGCTTGCATCCTGGAGCCTGAAGCAGTCCGTAATGCACACGGGAGCACGTAAAACCGTGCGACGATATACTACAAGCGACAATTCACGGGAGGGAGAGAGAGCTGAAGAGAGGGAGAGACGTTGAACGAGCGCGCGGCAGGAAGGGACGGAGGAACCGATGGCGCGGTCTGTACGTACGCGACAGGAAGATAGTCGCGAAGAGGAGGAGGAGGATGAGGAGGAACGGCTGCACGCGATAAAGAGAGGAAGTCGGGAGGAAGCGTCCGCGCGAGAGAGTGAGACAGTAATATTGAGGTTAGAACGAGACGCGACGGGACGACGACACGATTGAGGTTAAAACGCGATAGAAATACCAGAGCGACCGAGGCGCGCGATGAGCGCGATCAGCGCCAACGACTGATTGGTCGAGCCGCTGCGACTGGCTGACTAGCTAGCTGGTCTGTTGGCTTCGCGACAAAGCGAAACGCTTCCGAAGATACACGAGCACACCGACGATCGCAGCAGGAGGTAATACGGAACGACTTGCGCGATACTCCTTCGGGATTCTTACGATTCGTTTGTATGTGGCCAACTGCAATCAACAATGACGAAGCACAGTGTGATATTTTAATAACGGCGAGACTATGCAATCTCGATCGACATGTAACAATAGCGTCACAATAACGCCGACTTGCATTAATTCGATAATCATTGTTCAACATCGTTACTCATTTCACGCTCCATAAAGGAAACAAATCGACGGATTTCTTTCGCGGAGAATCATACAAAATTTTCAGTACATTTGTACAAGAGACATTCTCAGACAGAACCTGTTGATCATCTCTCTTTCTCCTTTGAATAGTTTTCCTTATATATATATATATATTCTTGAAATTTTTACGTATATATAATTTTCATTGCGCAGCTATTTTATGGTATGATTAAACCTGCGCAATAAAACTTACGTATACGCAACTATTTCAAGAATAAGGGCCCTGTATTGGTATTCTGTAACTCGTTATTGGAGTTAACGACAGTTTTGTTATCATTGCGCAGCTTTTCTACGGTATACAAAAGCTACGCAACGATAACGAAACTGTCATTAACTCCAATAACGAGTTACAGAATAGGACTACTGTGGTGGAATTCTGTAATTCGTTATTGGAGTTAACGACAGTTTCGTTATCGTTGCACAGCTTTTCTACGGTATACAAAAGCTGCGCAACGATAACGAAACTATTGTTAACTCCAATAACGAGTTACAGAATAGGGCTTCTGCATTGGGATTCTATAACTCGTTATTGGAGTTAACGACAGTTTCGTTATCGTCGCACAGCTTTTGTATACCGTAGAAAAGCTGCGCAACGATTACTGTCGTTAACTCCAATAACGAGTTATAGAATCCCAATGCAGAAGCCCTATTCTGTAACTCGTTATTGGAGTTAACGACAGTTTCGTTATCGTCGCACAGCTTTTGTATACCGTAGAAAAGCTGCGCAACGATTACTGTCGTTAACTCCAATAACGAGTTACAGAATCCCAGCACTGCAGTACGATTATGTAACTCGTTAAATGCAGTTAACGATACGACAGCTATCGTTAACTGCATTTAACGAGTTACACAATCGCACTGCCTTATTCTTGAAATAGTTGCGTGTACGTAAGTTTTACTGCGCAGGTTTAATCATACCATAAAATAGCTGCGCAGTAAAACTTATGGCTCCTGCACACAGGACGCGGTAATGCTTGCCGCGCGGCAAGCATTACCGCGTCTTATGTGCAGGAGCCATTACGTATACGCAACTAGTTAGAAAATCGAGCCCCAGGGCAGCGATCATGTAACCATTCCCCTAGAGCGGAAACGTGAAAAGTGAAGTTTCACGTGAACTCGTGATCACTGAACTCGGTGAAACGTAGAAACCATGAAGTAAGGGCTAGTTTCACTAACTCCGGTTAAATCAACCGATGGTTAAATTCTAACTACCAGAAGTGCCAACATCGAGACTGAATATAAATTGTTCATTAAGATTTAGTATAATACTGTTTATTACACGTCGCATTTAAGTTGGCTACTCTGTTACTTTTAACCGTCGATTAGCTTATGCCCAATTTCTTCACCTCCGATTAACTTTATCTGCCAGTTATTTTAATGGAATTGACCAATCATATTTATGATTGGCAAGATTAACCAATCACAATTGACATTTATCCGACAGATAAAGTCAACCGAAAGTGAAAAAATTGGGCATTAACTGGAGTTAGTGAAACCGGCTCTAAGAGGTAAGGAAACCGAACTTAATAGGACGCGAGTAGAGAAAGTGATCCTGATTCGTGTCCCCCAATTGAGAGAAAATCCGCTGAAAAGAATAACTTCTTATGTTTGGTCATTTGTAAAGCAATAAGTTAGAGCGAGATAAGATATACTATGGATGTAGGAATATAAGAATAGAGTGTAAGCTGAGTTTATGGGCAAGGTCCATGGTTATATAGTCAAAGCTAGGGATATTGCAACTGGGAAGCACCCATTGGCTTGGTTTACATCGTACACTTGATACGCATACTAAGGGTGCCGTCCCATTGAGCACGGATCGGAACGCCGGATCGGATTTCTTACTATAATGAGCGTTCCGATCCGTGCTCAATGGGACGGCACCCTAAGGCCGGTATTCATAAGCTTGGTTTACATCGTGCACTTGATACGCGTACTAAATAGTAACTTTCTATTAGATAATCTTAATATCGACAATGCATATCAACGGTGACGCATTCAATCAATACAATACGTTTTATTGAAGAGTATTACATTAGCTTAACATACCGTTGTTTATATATATATATCATCGATATAAAGATTATTTAATAGAAAGTTACAATTTAGTACGCGTATTAAGTGCACGATGTAAACCAGGGCATAGTCGAATCTTAAGCTATATGCACAATACCAGATAACAGGCAATAGGAATAGACATTAGCCAATAGGAACAAGGAATAGAAATAATTGACCAATCTGATTTCCTATTCCCTGTTTCTATTGCCTGTTGCCTGGTATTGTGCATAGAGCGTTATTTCAAGACCGTCTTTAGTAATGTCTTAAGATGCGAATAGGACTCTGTGATTGGTTCATGACATCTTAAGACAGTATTTAAGATGATCTTAA